TGCTACTTCATAACTGTAATTTTGCTACTGTTATGAATCGGGCGATCCCTGTGAAAGGGTCATTCGACCCCCAAAGGTGTTGCAACCCACAGGCTGAGAACCACTGGTCTAAATGCAATTAACATTTTTTTCCTTTTGTCTCAGCAAACCCTGGGTAAATTTAATGGCCTTGCCAGCAGAGAAATAGCAGTGGAAATAGCAGTAGGAATAACATCTTTGCAATGCTATGCTTATTCTTCTAGAGACTAAAGATCTCAAAGTGACTGCAGGGGCCCCCAGGTGAAGTGCAGGTCTAATCCGCCACAAAATACTAAATCTCCTGGGCATGATCTGTAAACCAATTATTGTCCACTTAAGCACAGACAGAGCTCTTTTGTCATTACGTTTTGTTGGGATTTCTAAAGAAAGAAAAATATAAGAAGACCAGGGGTCTGTATTAATTATTAAATTCTATAAATAAAAGCTAACAATGTTATAAACTCTAAAATGGTGCATGTTGTTGAGAAGAACATAATAGAAAAATACAAAGGGGGCAAGGAGAAATTCCCTGTAATATCATCTTATGCATGCATCCTTAGTAGTAGTTATTGCTTAATGTTTTAGTCTGCTTTTCCAAGTATTTTTCTGCCTATGATTTTATGGTATGCTCTTTGTTTAATGACGATGTATTTTAAATCAGTTGTTAAAATCCAGGTGGAGCAGGACAGAGTATCATTGTTAAATCTTTATCGATAGACTACCAGCTGGCTTCTTTTGCCATTATATGATTGACTTTAGCACAAAGGCTCTTTAAAGGGTTGCAGTATTTCAGTGCTGCCTCTAGTCAAAGTCACGTTCTTCCTAACGATTTAGGCTATCTTGCTTTGAGGCAAAAGAGAGGGATGACAGGTAGGAGTTCCACTTGACATTACACATTTTTGTTTCAAAGAACTCTTTCTTGATTCTGACCTCTCTTTTCATCTTAACAAATGCCTATCTATCAATAGGAACTCGGAGTTGCAGTGGTTAAGCACCCATCTGCTAACTGGTTGGCAGTTTGAACCCAGCCATCCGTCCCGTATGAGAAGGAGCTGGCAATCGATTCCTATAACGATTAATCAAAGCAAACAACAATAACAACAAAACCTATTGCCAACTCAGAGCAATCCTTGAAAGCCACCTAAGGTTTCCAAAACTGTGGGCTTTCCTGGAGCAGACTGCTGTGTCTTGCTCCTGTGGAGCAGCTAGTGGGTGTGAATGATGTATCCTTTGTTTAGCTGCCAAATATTTAACCCCTGCACCACTAGGGGTCCTTTTGATAAAGATTACAGCCTAAAAAACCTCCCTGTGGGACAATTCTACTCTGTCACATGGGTCACTATGAATGCAAAATTGATGAGGTGGCACCTAATAACAATGGATTTGAATCTGCTCAATGATGGCATGGGTTGAAGACGCTCATTATTCTCATTTGCCAGCAGAAAGGTGCCCTTGTGGCACCATGGGTTTCAGTAGTGGACAGCTAACTGAGACGTTGCTGGTCTGAATCCACCAGCCGCTCTTCCATAGGAAGATGAGGCAGCCCACTTCTATAAAGATTCACAACTTTGGAAACCTTATGGCGTACGTAGTCCTATTGTGTCTTCTATGGTCACTCTGAGTCGGAA